GCCGCCAATAAATGGCCCAGGCGCATATAATGTATAATTCCAAAGTGTTTTGTCGGTTTCTGGAAAAAAACAATATCTCTAACACCGTTTGTAAACTAAGTTTGAACACTTGTTATTAATATATAAGGTAGTTTTTTTTTTAATAACTGGATTTGTATAGGTAATACCATGACTCATAGCGATATTTGGCATAAATACCACGAGTGTAGTAGTATTTAGCCAAATATCACGTACAGATCATGCTATTATTTGTTTATACTACTACCCGCAATAGTTTTGTAATTTTCACATGTAGATATTTCAAATTAAGCTGAAATACCACTGCTCTAAGCCAATCAAATTGCAGAAATTTCTCATGTAGTAGTGTGAACACTGAAACTGTGTTGATACTGTGCTGATTTCTCGGGGCTACAGTTATACCGCCAGACAGTAACCTAAGGTTTTCCACTTGTTTATGCCAAGAGAATAATTAATAAGTAGCCGCCCACGGTGGGGGGTGGCTCTCATTTAACGGGACGGGGAGGTTCCTCGGAATATCGAAATTAACCCGTAAAGGAGAGATTCTGGGAATGGCTCAAGCCTTATTTCAGCCGCAAGATATACCCTTCTAAAATGTACAGACAGTCCAATAAGAGCTCTAGGTATTTCAATTGCGATTAAGAACTGGTTTTCGTTGAATGCTTTCTTCTTTCTTCTTTTCGTCTTCTACGTTCCTACAATTTCTTCACGCACGATTAAAGCTATACAAGTCTCCTATGCAGCTGTTTTTGGTTACGATATGAAGGACATCTGCGAAGCGATAGCTGTATGGGTAAAAATATTGGCTTTCCGTTCTGAAAACATTAAGAGATACACAAAAATCTGCATTCCTGAATCACTTCCCTTGATTAAACAAGAGCATCTCCAAGCCTTTCAACGTCCTTTCAGGGAGCTGTAATCTTGTCATTGATGAAAGCTAGCCTGAAGATTTCTAATGTGTAGTTTAATGACCACAATTGCTCAAAAAAGGATGAGAATGAAAAATAAGCTTACATTATTTCTAAAAGATCATGATCTTGCCAATCAAAAACAACTGGGTCTCGATCGAAAACAGTGTCTTGTCAGTAACAATAGTAAGTTCCATAAGATTATAATTAGCTGACAAAGAACTCTCTGCTTTGGCTCAAATCCATCATGCTTGAAGTTACCCAGTACAGTTAACTAGGATAAGTAGATACAAAGGCTGAAATTGTCTGGATTTCGATGGTGCAGTGACAAATCATGCCTGGTCCTTATCCTGGGTACTTTCCATTATGGCCTATACGGGTAGGCTCCGCCCAAAAGGGCTACTTTTTCAAACTGAAGGTGTATGAAAGGGACCTAGTGGGTAGGGAAGTTTGTCATTGTAGTCTGTAAAAAGTCCGAAAAGGGCTAATAGATCCGTTAAATGGCTGAGAAAAAGTCGATACTTGTAACGTTCTGGGTTTGTGATTTATTTATGCTTAAAAGCCAGTGCATTTACAGCAGTCAAAAGAGATGCAAAGGTCTAAAGTAGGAATGTGAAAGGGGTACCATTTGTTTTAGGTTTTGTACCATTTTATGACACTGACAACGGCGTTAGGACCAAAGTTTAAGGGATTCACAGCTACCCTCATGACTTTGAAGTCTTGTCTCGAAGGGCTTGAGGCCTCAAAATCCGGCAACGTTAATTAATAGTTTTAACTCTCCATGGATTAACCGAGGCGCTACCTCTTTGAGAAAAACGTATGTACGTACGAGGTACGTCGTAGGATTTTCGGCGCTCTTTTGTACAAATTAATGTGGATCTATGTTTCATTGAAACGGCATCTGGCAGGCAAAGGCACCCTTTCCATTTTTTTTTTAACTTGCCCGTAATTGTTATTATACAATTCGTACATCAGTAAGTATGGTTATATAGGTGGTTTTCACGTTACGTCATCGCCGCCATGCTGGTGGACGGTAAACAAAAGATCGCTCATTAGCTCGCTTTGTTTGTTCACCACACCAGCATTTGTTCATTTCACCATTGTTATTTGTGTCTCCCGAGGATGCATGAAAAGCACCTATACAGTGAAGATGAGCTTTTCAAGGACAATACCCTTTTCGTTAATTGATTAATCAATTAATAATTAATATTTTCCATCATCTAAAATTTAAATTAAAAATATTTCCTATAATTTTGAAAAACATAAGAAGTAATACATTGATTTAATTGTAGCTGTCTACATTGTTAGAAATATGCGACATGTTTACGGCTAAAAATTAAATTTTTAATAGGACTGATTTGTTTGATTTTTTTTGAAAGTTTTCTGGTAAATGATTTCAAATTTGTAATAACTTCAACCTCGTACATAACTGTTGGGACAGTTCCATCTGTTTTCTAACTTTTGCGCTTCCACCATTTCTTCTAAAGCGAAAACCTAACTCTCTCCCTGTCAGTCCCCCTGATCAATGCTGCTTTGGTCTAACGACCAACGGATAAAATTCTCCTGTTCAGGGGGAAAACGGTCATTCGTTTAGCGATGGTTTCCATTTTTGCCAGAATGACAGGAAAAGATTTGTGATGTGTCTCAACACCCTTTGTCCCAAGTTTTACCTATCAGTGATGCATGCTTGGCTCACATAAGCAGCATCATCTCCTTTATAACAGTGAGACATATATACCCCAGCCATTTGGATGGCTTGAGCGGGGGAGAATTGCCTTATCTCATTTCTTATCCACAAGTTATCCGTTTTAGTGGTTTACTGAAAACAAGGTAGAGAAAACTGGTAGTGTATTACATCATCCGAGAGACTGGGATGATGTAAGGTCGAGTGTTTGTTAAATATTCAGTTAAAATGCAAATATTGCTACAACAACACACAAAATGCCGAAAATTAAAAAGGGTTTTAAATTCCTTTATACACTGCCTTTAGTTGATACAGTGTAAGAGAACATTAACTAGCGATACCTTTTAGCTCGTTAATTTAGCATTCAACGTTATACCTGTCGTTTTTCTTATTCTTCTTCGATTGTTTTAGAATTATGAGTTATATTTTTCCAAAAAAATTTAAAAGAAATTAAAATTTTGTTATGAATTGTCATGACTCCATACTGTGCACTGTACGGGCTTATTAATTTTACTGAGAAATGAGTTTCATGTTCACTGCGATTATCCTAGTGAGCTTCCATTGAAAATCGTTATTTTACTTCAAATACTTTTTGTTTCATTTTCATTTTTGCCGAAACGGATCATCACGATATGTCGAAGTTTTAATTTTTTATCTGATGTGACTATACGTTATAAAACTTATTTGTCCTTCAGTCGCCAAAATGCGTCGTTTCAACTTGAAATCATTTGGCGGAGAAATGCCTAGTGTTATTCAAATCGCCTCCACTTTTACCAAACATTTTCTAACTAATTTTTTAGCTGATTAAAGTAAATAAATACAGTATATGCCATGTTTTGTTTAAGCTTTATTTCCATCTTGCTTTTCAATCACAATATCAGCTACCTAAGCCATAGTTATACAGTAATGTCATCATATTTGACATCTTTCGCGCCATTAGGGACTTTAAGATCCAACGACGAGGACGGTAACGAGATCGTAAAAAAAACAATAGGTTTGATAAGCAAAACAACAACTTTCCACGTGCACCATGCTTTTTTCTACATTTCTCTGCCCGTTCTCGCACGACTACGACGTGAACATGCCTTATTTCGCGTTTTACAGAGGACATAAACAAGCAATGACGAAATTTTATTTCTCTTACCGTACTTGGATATGGAGCCTAGGAATTCAGTTCCAGGAGGGTTCGCCTACATTTGACAAAGTAAGTGTGTAGGAATAATTGCGATATAGACTGAAAGAACGCAAATTCACTTTTTAAGCGACGTTCTCATTGTCGTCGCGTCGTTGGATCTTAAAGTCTCTATTACCTAACATGGGGAAGGTCTCCTTAAGAACTAGAGGTGTCAGAATTGTAATTAAATGGCAGACAGGTGATTTACAAATTTTTTTAAAATGCACCCTACTGGAAAGAAGTCTTTTCATACTTTCCTCAGAAGCTTTCTTTGGGAAAGCAAATACATAACATCCGAGATATTTTGCTAATTTAAGCTAATTTCTATAGAAGATTTTACACAGTTTTCACAGACTACAACTCCTACACAAAATCAACGAAAAAATTTTTTCCATTTTTTCCTGCTGGTTAATAGAACTTACAGCATTATATATATTGTGCCTTTTTTGCGGTAAAATAAGTAATTAAAATCCTTAAATCAGTTCGTGAACATGGATGCGAAAATCATGTAGATTTACGAACAAAACCAGTATGGATTTTTCATGGAGTGCCACATATAGAGTGTTGCGGTACCCCACAGCTAACCTAACGAGATGACATGCACTATTTCATGACGAAATCACAAAGGCACTGAGAGCAATATCAATCAAATTATGACTAGCCTTTCTTATTCCGACTACGTTGATTGGATGCAAGCTCTGTGTTATTTGATTGCTTGTTCCAAAAGTGCTTTCACAAGTCCATATGTAACCAAACGTGAAAACGCTAATATATTCCAAAGTTATCGTATCGAGCCCGGGAGTTTACAGGGCTGAAAATTGGACAACAATAGCGGCAAGGACTCCATTGCTAAGTGACAGGTTCCCATATGCGATTTTGTATTTTGCACGCGTTTTAGAAAAGATAAATTAACATCTTTATTTCACCAAATGAATTTATCTTGTCTCATAGCTTGCTTCAGCTCAAACAAGTAAGAGTGGACTGACCTGAAATTCAACGCAAAACCTGAACCATTATCGTATTAGAAACCCTTTTTAGTACTCGGCACCTGGTTGAAACAGAATAAGCGCATCTGTGAAATTTTAAATACAATATATTGTTTATCTATTTATTACTTTTTTCCTGCTAAAATCGCTTATAAATACGGTATACAGCTCTCTTTCATTTATTGTGATTAATCGAGAATTAATATATTTGTGCTTGGTGTTATATTTGCAGGTTACTCGATATTTGAGTGTTCTGAAGCCAAGTGATCCCGACCCAAAAAAACGCTTACGTGTTTTCAAACAAAGGCTGCAGTCGTTTGAATTACTACCATTGAGAAAAAGGTAAAGTGTTTTCATAGGAAGCAACAAGTTAAAACATTTTAAACGCCCGGCAAAAAAATCCTTTTTCTCGTAAGCGCCTATTGTACTGAAGATCTCCAAGCCAATTGCATTTTCTAGTCTTTGTCTTATCTTACCAATGACCATATTTAGTCTTCAGATGTTTTTTTTTTCGACGCTCGAACGCATGCCTATGTACCGCTCACTCCCTAAAAGCTCATGTTTTGGTTTATTTGCTACGTACATAGTTTTTATTTTTATGTTTAAAATTTTCAAAAGTATGTCAAGTTGTCAAAAAATGAAGAACCGATATTCATGCATCAGTACGTAGGTGATTATATTCGCCATGAAGAAACGATTATCTACTGTGTGCTAATTTCGTAATGCATCATACTGGCTCTTCAGCATTTCTTATCAAGTAAATAATTTGTTGATATGTCCTCACACATTTCATTTTGCGGTTATCTTACCATCATTTACCTTCTACATTTTCGAGACCCCAAGACAGACATAGAAAAGTTGTATTTTACCTCAATGACTGATTTGTTGAGCCGTGACCGAGCCTGGGCTCTGAATCAAAGTTTAAGCACCATCACGAGAAGCCCGCGTCTTCTTTGTTTTAAGCTTTGGATTACTCCAGCACCGTTCTTTAAACTGCATCAAGATGCCTAAAAAATCCATACATGAAATAATAAAAAACCCTCTCCCTTAAATAAATGAATGTAAGAAATATTATTCGACCACCATAAATTCAAAGTTGTAAATCACCCATTTGTTTCACTTGAGTCATCGAGACTTTGTTAAAATTCAAAACGTTTGGGCCCTCGAAGATCTTCACTCGCAGCTCAACACCAATTGATGATAGATAAGTGACAAGCAGAAATTTTCGATTGACTTTCTCAGCTAGCTGTTATGTAAAGTCGATGCTTTGGCAGTCATAATTGCAATGGGGTAATCATTTGGCGGGATGCCTGTGAGTCAGTGTCTTCTCTTATTAATCGCTTCGTAAAATAAAGCAAAGCGGCTATACATGTTCTTAAATCTCATCTCAAGTCATACAAAGTTTGTTAACATTCAAAGGCAAGAGGTTTCACCGCCAGTCTTAAAAATACTGTCTTCATTACTGATGCGATCGAGACTATTATCAACCAGACTTATCAAAACCTAAACTACAGTGATACATTAGACATTATATGATAAAGGTAATATTTGCAACCCCAGTGATTGATGGAAAGCAAGCATTTTTTTTTACCCTACTTAGCAGGCGTGTTAACAGGTCAAAGGAAGGGCTGTGTATAATACTGGGACGGGGACAAGGGGACGGGGACATTGGGACGCGTGTGTCAGTGGGGACTTGTGACTCGGGGACTCGAGACGAGGGACTTGAGAACATCAAGTATGAGACGCGGGGACGTAGGAGGTCAAATACAAGGACGCGGGGACGTTAATGAATATTGCAAAAATCGGAGGTAAATGTGATATCTCTTTCTTCGTGAAAAGGTGTTATTTATGGTCAACATTAGATTCTATCGTCCAGAACCACATTGGACACCTTATGATGTTTACACAAAATATTTCGTCGCGTTAACTATCCTGATTAGGGTTGATTTCCAGTGTCGCGTAATTTTCCCGTGCGTACGTACGTCAAATTTACGTTCGCAAATTAAATAGAGGCAATGTATGAAAGGTCGCACGTAAGTGTAAAAGTAGAACCTCGCTCAACTTCACGTTTAATCTCGACACTTTATGTCTTGCCTCGATTTTATTAACGTGATTAAAATTTACGTGCGTTAACGTGCGTAGCCAAAAATGCGTTAGCGGAAATCAACCTTTAAGTACTGTTGGCAGGCATTTACTGTTAGGTTCGCAAATTAAATAGAGGCAAATTAAATAGAGGCAATGTATGAAAGGTCGCACGTAAGTGTAAAAGTAGAACCTCGCTCAACTTCACGTTTAATCTCGACACTTTATGTCTTGCCTCGATTTTATTAACGTGATTAAAATTTACGTGCGTTAACGTGCGTAGCCAAAAATGTGTTAGCGGAAATCAACCTTTAAGTACTGTTGGCAGGCATTTACTGTTAGGTTTGCCGCTAAAAATATTTGAAACAAAATAAATATTGTTACAATAGTTGAACCCCCCGTGGTGTAGTGGTACAGGCGATAGATTTCGGAGCTAACACTTCGGGATCGAAGCTCTCTCTTATGCTACTTAATTTAGTTTCCTTTTCTTATTTATTTGGAATCGAATGCTGTTATTCTATATAAATTTTGGCGACCGCAACCTACCCTACCCTACTTAGGGCTCCAATATTCCATCAATAGGAAGACCAGGACAGTGGTTTCACTTTCTTCAATGCAGGAGGTCTTCGCAGAGTCTTTGCTTCGTAAACAGGCATGGAGGAACCGTAAGAAGGGTAGGGCGGGCTGCCTTCACCAAAACATATTCACGAGGAAAGTGACTGAAATCGCATTTATCGCAATAATCATTCACATCCGGCGGCCCCCGCGTCCCTGTATTTGACCTCCCGCGTCCCCGTCCCACAAGTCCCCGCGTCCTATACTTGATGTCCCCAAGGCCCTCGTCTCGCGTCCCCGAGTCACAAGTCCCCACATACGCGTCCCAATGTCCCCGTCCCCTTGTCCCCTTCCCAGTTTTATACACAGCCCAAAGGAAGTCATCTTTACCTCCCTGCTAATTAACCTGTTGGTTTACCTGCCACATACTGGGTTACATTTTAAATTGTCTGTATATTAACTTAACATAAATGTTTTATTTTAGTTTATATCGGTAAAAAGGAAATTATAAGGTTTCCATTTTCGCTATTTATGGTCCAGAGCAGTGAAATGGCTCTTTGATGAGCTTGTTTGGTGAAACAAACATATTTCTAGTGAGAATTTCCTCAGAATTATGGCAGTTAAATTGTAGGCACAAAAAAGTAACAAAATAGTGTAAAGTTTTGTTATTGTTACAGGGCTGTTTTGATGCCCAACTTGTATAATATATTATCAATGTTTGCAGCTGCAGTTTGCTTAGAATCAACACGATCGCATGCATATACCCTGGGTAGCTATAATAGGCACTAGGAACAGTCAGCAAGAACTTTCCGTATATTAATATTGTAGCATGATGTATTTACTTGTGAAACTTACGTGAGTATTTTCTTCTTTGGTCGAACCTAGAAATCTCCATTTTATTTTGCTTTTTTCTTTAACAGAGGCTGTTTTGATCCTAAACTTGTTTCATATATTATACTCTTACTCTACTGCCATCTCGGATAGGAAACAATATGGCTGCGGGCATGTGGCTTGTTTACGTTATCTTTCATAGATAACGAACCGAGAAGGAAGGAAGTTATATTTTTAGTGAGCATCTTCATCCAAATTTCCACCAAAAAATGGTTTTTTTATTATCTGTTGTTTCCTTATGACTTAATTTCTATTTGTCGATTTTCTCGAAGTAACCGTTATTGTACATAACACCACTGTCATGTAAGGGGCTTAATCGCGAGCAATTACCAAATAAAGGACGCTTGGTACAAGCTTGGGAAATAAACCAATTCACACCCTCATGTTAAGCCATCTTTATGACCAATAAGCTTGCGATGTGGCAAATTGTGTTTAATTTCCCAGCACGCACATTTACATATTTTCCCAGCTGCTGGAAGTTATACTGTCAACGAAAAATAAGCGTTTATGCTGACGACCGAGACCTACAAATCAACCAACAAATTTTTAAAGATGAGCTGATTTTAAAACTCGACACTCAAAGTAAGTAAAATTATAACAGTCCGTTAACTGACAAATCAAAACGAAGACAGTGCTTAATTATTTTGGGCAGAAGGACCCAGAACATGTTTAGGTATAGTCGTATTAAGATTCAATAACAATCCCAGATCAGTTTAAAAGCTTTTTTCTCAGTTCATTTGCCTAAATCAGCCTACTAGTTCTTTCCATTGCAGTACGATTTTCTTGGGCTTTCTCAGCATTTTAGTTTTATTATCCTCATCGCCAACCACGTACTTGGTTATTTTACCAGTATAACAAAAACAGTGATCTCTAACGCTGTTGAGTGGTTTCCGGATTCAGGCATTTTTAAAGTCCCAACAAACGTCGGACGTCGGTGTTCCTCCATAGATACAGCCAAGACTCGTGTAGTTCACAGTGTTTAAATGGAAGAAATTCCTGAAGTGTAATTGGCAGTTGTTAATCGTACACGGGCCTCTACAAGTATTTGCATTTGTACAAAACCATTCCGTAATTAGTACAGGCGAAGACTATACTGGGCCAATACAGAAAAAAAAAAAAAAACTCGGCGCCGGACAACAAGAATAATTTTTTTCTTTTTGTATGTTTTCTTAGTATTCTTTGGTGCACGTTAACGTTGGAAACTTTGGCAAGCAAAATGATGAAAAACAGTTTTTTGTAACCGGTGGCAATTTTAAGTAAAAGTAAGCACTCTGCATGACAACTTTTTTTTTTAAGGTATCCATATCCGAAAATAATTTACAACCCAGCATAAAGAAATTGCTCACTGAAAGAAAAATAACAACAAATAAACATCAGCACTGTCGGTCACTATTTCCTTGTTTTGCTGTTTTTGTTGTTTTCTCCTCCCTATTTAAGTGTGGATGAATTTTTCATGACTATTCTTGTTATACAAGTTTGGATAATCCGATCTTCTTACATATCTATTTATTTCGGTATTTATTCATAGGGAATTGTCGTTTGCTAAAATTTGAATAGCGTAAACACATTTGACTTGAATTTAATAGAATCGTCACAGCCCAGGGCTATAGAAATACTGCTTGCAAACAAAGCAGGAACTAAGACAATTTGATTGAAAAGCATATAAATCAATTAACTGTTTTTGCCCTCGGAAATTACCCGCAGTGTAATCGCGGAGATCGCTAAATGAATTTCAAAATCACCGAACAGTTCAAAACAGTTTCACCAGAAATTAAGGCTGATTTTACGATTTGTCGTAAGTTCCAACAAAAGGTGCATATTTACATCAACCGTGGAAGCTAATTTGGTTAAAACCGACCTATTTATAGGAAAGATTTTCACCTGGTAAAGCCTTCCGATGTTGTAATCAGCTGAATGTAACTGAGTACAGCAGGCAAAAGACACTTTTCAAATATAATTGAAACAAGTTCTAGTATTTTGATTGAAGTTTACTTCTTGTTACACCTCATGAATGAAGCGAAATCAAAAGTAACGCCAAAGGCGCTGGACAACAATTTTAAAAGAAATTTGTAAATTTATGGTAATGCAGGTGTCTGGGCACACAAACGATGAAAAATATTTATCTATTTTCGATGAGTTAGCGGCGGAAAACTGCTGCACCTAACAGCCTAATAATAAGGAAATATGGTGCGGTACATTTTCACACGTTTTAGATTGCTTTCTGTAATCAGTTTTCGATTCTTTTGAATGATTAATTCAATCACTTTAACTTGTTCATTCTGCTCAATTTCAAAATCTTTGCGGTTTTATCATTCAAAATAGCCATTTTCTATATATTATCTCTGTTTAAATTAACATCAGCACAAGAACCTTTACAAAAACATGATTATACATCATATTAATTCTACTCTACCAATTCCAAGGAAAGACAACGTTTTCCAAAAAGTTATTATGAAGAACTCTATTTTCGGCCATTGCGGGATTACATAAAAAGTTTAACTGTTGTCGTTTGTTTTATTCTCTTTTATTTTAGTTCAGGTTTTAACTTACCGCCTAAGGATGTTATAAAATAGCATTTCCAGACCCTAATATAATTATATTCCATTAATTACGCTCAGGCGTTCTTATTGGGCGTGTTTAATTCGGTCAATTCTCGCTAATTTTACAAAGTGTCACAAAATTGGTCTAATACTACAATCTCGAAACATTTGGCTACAAGGACCCGATACTGCCATCTGATCAATATTTCAAAGGTCTCATATCACTGGTTAAGGATTTAAAAGCTGCCTAAAATTCTTTCTTACTCTTAAAATTTTAATATTACAATCGCTGATCTTCCATAAGCCAAGTTATGCTCATAACTAATCCCATGTTGTTATTCAGTTAGAGAAAAAGAGAAACACCGCCGAAAAGTAGTTTTGCTTCTAGATAAAAGAATTTCCATAATTCATAAAGGCGACTGATTTAATTCTGCAAACATTGACAGATCGAATTCTTAGCAATGCTTTATTTGAACACGGCATCCTCGATGTTTACTAACAAAAAAGCCACGACCGTGGAAAAATAACAGCAGAAACATTCCAGCTTAGCATTCCGCAGAGGGTTATTTCCTGAGCGTGTCTGACTAAACTGCGCGTTTCGCTTTAAAATAAATTACACCGGCTTAGAGTTTTCAAGAAGTATACTAATTGCAAGTCTTTTCGGAACCTTCAACATAAGCACCGGAACCAATTTACAAAGTCGACAAGTCATTTTTTATTTCTTTCCGCTTCGTACAGTTTTGCTAGCCTATATCAAAAGAAAAACAATTCTTTATTTTCGTTAGCTGCCTACATTTCTTGTCAACAGTATATTTGGCAAACGGTGAGCACGTGATTCGTTTTTTCGAGAGTCAAAACCCACTCGTGCGGTCGATTGTGATCACATTTTTAATAAGCCCCTTAATAAGCTGCTGTCTTTCACTTTAAGACCAGATTAATGTATGCGTTGATCGTTAGTTATTGAAAACAAAGCGTTTAGCATGAGTTGCTCCGGATTCTTTGAGCAGACGGGAAAGATTCGGAGGAGTTTAATTCTCAGGCTCTTGGGTCATTCACTGTAGATCGCTCTATGAACCAATGCGTTTCTGGGAACACTGGAAAACACCGCTTAAGAGAAAAATTCTACCCCTTAAAGGTATTTCGATGGTATTTGTCTAGAATTGTTAAGCATCTGTCTGTTAAAATGCAACGAACGTTTCCACCTATACTGTATTGAGAAAACTACGTCTTGGTTTGTTATGAGTAAATGTTAATGACACCGTTTCAAGGTATTTTGCTTCCGAAACCACAATCAAAGTAAGCTGTCATGAACCTTTCCTTCATCGATAAATCATTTTTGTTGTCAAGCGTTTTCGTCCTTTGAATGATTTGTTGCCAAAAAGGTAATTCCCGCGATAAAATATTTCCTTGAAACAGCTGGGTTCTAGTGTAAGGTTAGCGTACTGATAACTTCAGTTGACGTTAGGAGCAGATTCATTTGCACTTAACAGTTAGTCGGGTTTGGCCTTTACTGACGATCTGTCGTGCTTGTGAAGTTTACTTTATTACGTTTGCTATCATCGTGATTAAATGTTGACCATATGTTGGTGTCAGTAAAGTAAACGACAGGGGAACAGCTCCAAACACAACGACAGGATTGTCAAAGAGCCTATTTGTTCCCGATCGCCTGAGTCATGCGTGTCGGCAAAAAGATCCCAAGTGGCAGATTGTTACTTTTTTCATATTATTTTGACAATAAATACTTTTGCATTCCTTCCTATTTACAGAGACGCAATTTGAACAGTGTTTAGTTCAAAGTAAATAGATATAGAAGATATAAACTCCCTTGACATGTTATCCGCTCATTTGGGTCGATGGTGTAATTTTGAGGCATATTACTGTGTCACTTGGGCCTTCTAATATTTGCCAAGACTGCGGATACCTGTCGTAATTTTCAATACTATATAGTATTAGGTAAAAAAAAATTAACTAGACCCATAATTTGTTTGTATATATATATTTTTTATATTTTAGTCTTCAAGAATTTCACAAAGATGAACAATTCCACAGCCGAGCAAGTGGATTCGGGCTTCACTTATAACACCAGCGCAGGCAATATTACCGCAGCATTTTTCGTTGCCGTTTTAATGCTGCTGACTTTGGTAGGAAATGTCATGGTATGCGCCTGCTTTTATTATTACCACGACCTAAGAACAATATGCAATTACTTCATCATCAGTTTAAGTGCGGCGGACATCCTGGTAGCGCTACTAGCCATGCCATTCTGGCTGGTATTACAGTTAACAGACATGGATGAGAAATCCAAGGGTGTGTTTTCAGCGGAGCTGTACTTGTTCTGGGCCATTATAGACATCTTGGTTGGTTCAGCCTCCATTATGAATCTTGTTGCCGTAAGCTTTGACCGTCACCTGGCGATAACATCCCCTTTTTCCTACAACGAAGTAATGACTTCCTCTAGAGCTACAGCCATGATAGTTGCTCTATGGGTGTTCTCTCTGGTACTGTGTAGTCTTCGAGGTCTTCCAATGGCCAGTACAAGATCGTTCCTCCTTCCATATCAACTTGTCGTCGTAGCCGTCAGTTTTGTAGTTCCTCTGTTGCTCATGACCGTTATGTACATGAAAATTTACTTTGTGGCAAGGAATCAAGCGCTCCGCATTGGACGAAACTTCGCGAAAGACATGAAGGCAACCAAGACTGTAGCCATTGTTATTGGCGCGTTTGTTGTTTGTTGGATGCCTTTCTTCGTCATTGTTACCATATACGCGTTTAATCCTCTTTATTACGTACCCATTGACTTTTATAAGGCAATCAAGTGGATGGAGTACCTGAACTCCTTCTTGAACCCAATCATTTACACATGCTTAAACCGTACGTATCGTCGAGCCTTCAAGAAACTTCTTATTCGTTCCACCTGTTGTAAAAGGCTTGGCCCAGGTTCCGAACCTCTCAGTTGCGCTCACTCCACTAAGATGTCATTTCATAAAACAAAAGGAGAGTCACTGTCACACAGTTCTTCTTCTATTTCTGAGAATGGAAATGTTTGTCTCCACAGAAAAGACAGTGCAGATACTGGAAACAACACTCATGCTTGTCGTGTCTGAGCCACACAAGCTCCTCCGTTGCATCTTAAGTGGCCGTATTAGAACAATGTTCGTCTTATCAAAATTGTATGATAATAATAGATAAGTCAATAACATTTTGTAGAGATTATGACGGCTATTCCTAAATTTTTTATACAAGTACAACCGAGCTGTCTGTGGGAACTAGATAAATAGACATCTGCGACATTATTCGGTTCAGTGCAATAATTTATAATCTTATTAATCAATTTTAATAACAGAAACGAAAAATTGATCACCCATAGACGCGGACAAAAAGACTTACATTATTCGTTAAAAAAATATAAATAAAGAAATAGTTGCAACTTCTAGCTTCTGACTTCTAATTCCAATAAAGATCTAAGGTGATAGGAAGGAAGGCGACATATTGACAAATGCCTTTCGTGTTGTTGTTGTTTAGGAAGTACCTACAGTCAGCAAATGTACTGTTAATGTGTCTTACAATTTACAAAAAGGAAGCCTTTCTAGGCTTTTGTAGGCTTCCATACAAAAGGAAGCCTAACCAACCTCACTCTCGAACAAGATCATGGATATAACTATCATTATTTCTCCATACAAACTTACGACGAAAGCATGAAAGTGAGGCATCGCAATTAAATTATAATAAGTGGTAGAAGTGCATCCTGCAACTACGACAAAAAATAGTTCTCACAAATGCTGCCCTGCTGCGCTTTGTGATAATTGTTCCGATAATAGGAGAGACTTGACGTTTCATTTATTTCCGAGTGATCCTCTCAGAAGGTTAGTTTCTCCACTCACCACTTTCCAACTCACGTTCATTTACTATAACTGCTCCAGCAATCCGGGGGAGTGGTTACTCAATTGAATGGCCTATTCGGGGATGTGCCGCTGGACAGGGTATGGTTTTTTACCTGGCTCTGTCCTAAACAGGGTATATCACTTCGTGTGAGTCTGTCAAGAGGGTATTGCCTGCACGAAAGATTTGATTTGCAAGATATATTTTGTTTGTCCTCCAAGTACACAAGAGCCTACAACGTAAAATTTGCTCTTGCCTATAAATGGCTCTAAAACAACCCCGCGTGCTTTTTCTCCTCTGTCCTAAACTGGGTAATAAAATTGAGGGTGTTGTCCTAAACAGGTTCAAGGTTTCAACCCCTCAGCGGCTCACCTCTACCCATATATTGGTCAAGTAACTCCCCGGTCCACGAATATCTTTTGGGCTAATTTTCAATCTCTAAATCACTAATCGTTATTGTTTTCGCCGCCCTATTTACTTTTTTTGAAGTTTGCCCTTACGCCTCGCTTTTATCCTTGCGTCGTAGGTATGTATGGAACATTGGGTCTTTTTTTCCTCACAGACCTTTTTACTGGCGGTCAAGCTAATTGGAGGAAATTCGTCTCCCCTGAGCTTCAGAAAACCAACACCGGGCATGTCTCTTGGCAAAATTTAAGCGGGTTCTTCCCCGTAGCATGCCACATTAAAAACTTAAGAAAACTAGGACAGCAATGCCAAAGAAAACAAGAATTTCACTTGAAAATAGAAAATTCACACTTTTCTAAACTACTTAGAAGCAGTTTTATTTTGTTTTTCTTTTATTACGCAACTAAAAAAGAATGATCCGTAATACGCCTTTTCTATAACATAGTTGTCCCATCTCAGGTCTTTTGCCTTGGCCTTTTATTAGGCATCTACCTTGAAATTTTAAAGACGAATAAAGGAAGTACGCGCATTTAGTAACTATGGGCAGGAAGGAATACGGCGGAACCTTCCCTGAGCTGCCACCCCTAAAATCAAGATTTGGCGTTCTCTTATGCTCAAGGAAAGGTTTACGAGAGACCTTGAAGGACAAAAGCTGACTGCGGTATTTTTTTGATAAGTGGGCACTTACCAGCGGTGGACGCACGAGGAGGTCTGATTGTACTGTTATAAGTACTGCCAAAGCAGTTTTATTTTAATGGTCGCACCAAAAGTGCGAAACGTACATTTACAATGGAGGTCAAAATTGTTGGGACATTTCTACTGGCGACCTTCCTTCTCCCACACCAAACAATCTTGAATTTTGGGGAAAAAATGGGAGGAAGGGATCTTTTCGGGGTCGCAACATTGCTGGGTGGGATGGGCCCAAAGCCAATTAAAAAATTGTCATTTGGAGCAGTCTTATGTAGTAGTTACATGAAAGGGTTTCTTCCCTGCGGGGGTGGGGGGTATTGCCGTGTATGGGCTATATAGGTATGTGCCGCTGTGAAGGGTATGATTTTCACGCAGTTTACTCTAGGATAGGGTATATAAATCAGAGCGTTTGGGTCCAGAATAGGGTATCATTTTTCAGGAAACTGATCAGTTGGTTGAAGATTTTATCTAGACTAGGGATTGTGCTATAAGGTTTTGTTTTGGCTAGACTGTGCTAGTGACCTCACTAGTTTGTGGAAAACAGCTACTCTAGGATAGGAGGGATAGTATAGTAGTATAGGGTAGCAAAATTCAGCTGAATTAGCTCTGGTATAGGTTAAGGGTTCCAGGGTTCCAGCGGCACATCCCCAATCAGAAATTCCTAAAGTACCTCCCCTCCCCGGTGGGTTTCTTCGCAATTTCCCAAGTTCTTTTGACCTCCGTTGTAGGGTTTGATGCATGTCTTTGTTATTGGATATGCGTCTCCCAAAGTGCTAACTGACTCTAAATTTGCTTACTGGACGAAAAGATGGATTTGCACAAACTTGCTCTTGGCGAATATGTCGTAAAAAAGTAAAAACTGAGGAGTAAATCTAGGGCAAAAAATGGTAAATGCCACTTTTGCACACCAATAAGCACGGTTTGTAAATAAGGAGGCAAATGTGTCATCTACTATCTTTGCTCCAAATTTAGTCCTTGTCTTCACAGTTTTGGGACACATTTGACAAGAGCAAGTGAAAAGCCATTTTTAATCCAGTGCTAGGTACTCAGTTTCTGAAAAAGGATTTCTTCTACTAAGTTGCTAACGTCAAAGAAAATTTAGTGGGTGTTTGAAACTCTGCATGTTCTATAACTGTAACGTTACCGTTTTATCACCTCTAGAAAGGCGAAAACAGACGGGGGGTGAGGAGGGCTTCATTTCAGCTTTAACTTTAAAAGTACTACAGTGGGCAAAGCAAATTCATTCGAATTATCGGGAGGTGGAAAATCGGGGGTAAAATCACAGCGGTTGACAATGGCATCCGTAGAAGGGGCCCCAATCATTGTCATATGCCAATAAGAGGTTAATGACGAATGACTTTTAGTTGATAAACCAAAAGTGTTTGCAGCCGTACCTTCCGCTATATAGACTACTTTAGCCACATATCATTGAGCCAGACATAATGTTCATATTTAACCGACACCGTTGAAGAATCAGTGGTCAAGTTTGTTGGCAAGACTGCCACCCGAGTTCCATTTCGATTTGCTCTTGTATTTAATAATATTGCCCGGTTCTCTTTTGACACCATTCCTTTGATTTGCCCCGATGCTCCTTTATTTCATTTTTATTGAATACTGACTCCCTTACCTCCCTAACATGGCTTATTGTCATTTGCACTGGTACAATTCCCTGAGTTTTTTGTCACTTGCACAGGAATGTCTTTTCTCATTTCCAAGGATTTCAGGCGAATTGTACATAAACTCCTATTTTCAATCCCATGGACGGTATTTACCACAGATTTCCATAACTATATAGGGTTTGTTATGGTGGAAAATGCACTTAACTTCACTGTCCAGCTAGTTTACAGGCACTCCACTTAAATAATCTGAAAAAAAATGATCCAAATAGAACATAACAGGATTAAAAACCCCACCTGGCTGGAGGCTGCACTAGTTGGTTATTTACAAGCGTGACCGAGGATTTGAACTCAGGACGACCGAGAGCAATCCAGCGAGTGGCTAGAGCGAGAATCGAACCCGGGACCGCCGGATTGCGAGTCCGACGCGCTGACCACTCGGCACTCTGCCTCCTCTATTCTCCATTCCAGTGCCATGGATTTCTTCTCGTCACTTGCACAGAGATTTATCTTCAATACCACGAATTTCTCGCCAATGCCAATGAGCTAGAAAGCCTCACTTTATACCCAAGGGTATTTTGCCGAGAAATATATATTGAAGTTCTCTTTTTGCCCGAAAAGCGAGCGTAAATGCTGAGCGAGTGCCCCCTGGGCATCCCACAATACTCCTTAAATATAATAAATTCAATATGGCCGCCGTATTGGTAAAAAGGTCTATTAATAGTCATACAATAACCATTGATTGAGTAAATATTTGTTGATAACTGATTCCCAACGCCTGACAACACTCACATTTTCTCAATTTAATAACAATTTCAGAATATAACAGTAGCTCTACATGCTACATGTACATCTATTTTGTGAGCTTAAACTGTCTCTGAAAAGTAATGCATACTTAAGCAGCGAACAATTTTCCACAGGTACTGCCCGCGTTTTTTTATAAGTGTAAATTTACAAAATGCACCCTCGACCATTCTTTTTGAGTTCTATTATATTCGCCTGCAAGAAAACTGTTGCATGGCGGTCTAGCCTAAATATGTGTTCGGACGGAAACACAGGATTGCGAAAACTAAATAAAGAGGGGAAGACCTTGGTTGAGTTTTCTTGGGTAAACAGAATGTGACATTTCCGCAAACACGCAGGTCACCTGAGATAGTGGTCCAAATGGATTCTTACTAAACCAACTGTACATGTTTATGCAAGCGTACAAGTTTTTTTTTATCAGATCCCTTACTGAAAACACATATTGTTTTTGTTTCGGTAAGATATTCTCGTTAGTATGTGTTCGGTTAATCTAACTACATCAGATGTGTTGATTTACATACTTTTTTATAGAGTGACTTAAATCACGCACATAAATACACCGTTTGTTCTAAACTTTAAAGTTTAGGTAACAAAGAGGCAGATGTAGGATTTCGCCTTGCAATTAAACTGCGGGGAGGCTCCCCTTGAAATCAAAATTCGGTAAGTATAAGTGTATTATCCTTGACTTATAATGTCATCAGTGCCATCGATTAGTTAAACGTTTTCA